TTTGTGTCGTGAGTACCGATAATTTGAGTTAATTGCGACTGATGTTTATAGGTTGCTCTTATGTTGTGCTGTCACACCACACTGTTCCAAGTTAGGGGAGGGTTGAGTGCTCACTACACTAGCATTTAAACCCCGCCACATTCATTATGAGCCGGTCCCAATTCAGGAACCAGTAGTTCAGTGGTTGCCAATTTGACCATGTCACTCATATTTTTTCTTTCGTAAATTGTCTTGTTACACATTAGGCCGTTAGGTTTCTCGTTTGAATTGTTTCACATTTTACATGTCAATGGCCTTTTATAGCCAACTATCAAGTATGGCTTTTTCTCGTTGTTAAAGGCCGTATGCTTGGTGGCCTATAATTGGCTATATTAATTTCATTTGAACACTCAGATCTGTACTTTGTGTCGTTTGTGTTTTATTTTATTTTTTGGGTGCTTTGCATCGATCTGATGAGAAGCCCTTTTCAATTGATTTTTATAGTTTTTTCCTAGTTCTTATGTTGTACTGTTACACCACTGTCAAAGGTTAGCGGAAGGGTTTGACGTCAGCAAATATGTTTAACCCAAACCACATTCAGTGGATGGTATGTGTTGCTATATATTATACATGTATTTGTTTTTTCGTTTACTGTTTTATACATGATTCGGACCGTTTTTTTTTTCTCGTTTGAATTCTTTTACATTTGTCATTTTGGGACCTTGTATAGCTTACTATGCGGATTCGTTTAAAGGTGTACGGTGACCTATAGTTACTAAATTTTTCGTCTTTAGGTCTCTTGTCTCATTGGCAATCATACCACGTCTTCTCATTTTCATATAACAAAACTATCATCCTGAAAATCTATGAAATATTTTCTGGACATTAAACATCGGTCAATCAATCCAATACACATTCTAACATGCTCATTTCAGACTTTCTAGATTTATTACCATGCTACAACGATCCAGAATTCCGTTCAGCATTCGTTAGATGTGTCAAGAATTCTTTTGTAGGGTATGACCAACATACGTGTGTGTAAGTTTACTTTTTTCAATACGTGTTATATAAAAAGAATAATATTATGATTTATAGTTCAACATTTTTTTTTTATACTTTTTTATGACAAACAAATTGTTTTGTTTATGTTTTGTTTTATTTTTTTTAACTTCTAGCATTTATTTGGGAAAGAACGGTTTAACCTTACTTTTAACAATTTTCAGATTTCAATTGGTCATTCCCCAAAGCTTGTACTATAATTATAATTAATAAAGTATAACAAAAAATCCGAACTCCAAGGTGAATTCAAAAAAGGAAAGTACATAAGACTAACCAAAGCAAACGTTATCAACCAACGGAACGAATAGAAAATTGGCATTTTCCGAAAAATTTAAATGGTTGGTTTAACCATGTTTTATAGCTAGCTAAACCTCTCACTTGCATGAAAGTTCTTTGTAGTTCCATTATATTGAAAAAATTGTAAGAAGTGTTCTGTTACAAATAAATAACTATACGGAAAAACTTACAGTTAAAACTACTTTTATATGATTTTTGTCCTATTCAAATAGTTATATTAGGTTGCATATATTGTGATAGATCAATAGATAATAAATTTCCTAATCTGAAAAGAATACACGACATGGAAATTGTAAACAGCAGGGGTAAGGTTCCAGACTGAATTCCAAGTCTTGCTGTTTTCTACCATTTAGTTTAACATTGAAATGAACTAACAAAACGTTCTATCACTGTTGGATTAGGCATGTGAAAGTTGTCTATAGTAAGCACGCGATAGGTTAAGAAAACAGAGTAATTTCACTAGTTATGGATGTTGGTTATGAAGCAGTCATCAATTGCAATATCCAAGTTTTTTTAATGTATAAAAATAATTTGCTGTTTCTACTGTACCAGTACCTTTTTTATTGATAGCTGTGGGTATAAATGTCACTTTTTGTAGGAAATTAGTGAAAAGTTGCGGCAGAAAGTATAAAAGGCTAGTTTTTTGTTTTTTCTATAGAGATCACTGCATGACGTCTTTTTAGTACAACAAAAAGTCGACAAGATAGGACAATTGTTGGAACATGTTAGAAAATTATAGTTCTGGATTTTTTTTACTTTGGAACACAGTTTTTTGTTCTTATGGCATTTTTGGTTGGTTTAGAAGCGTCCTCGATATTGAATTATATAATACATGAATTTTGAAGGAACATGCATTATATCACTTTAACCCCAAAAAAATGAACTTCAAGTTTATGTGCAGTCATGTTTCTGTTTCTAAATCATGTTTAACCCCGCCGTATTTTGCGCCTGTCCCAAGTCAGGAACATGTGGCCTTTGTTAGTCTTGTCTGTTTTTTTTTTTTTTAATTTTGGTTCATTTATATGTTTCTGAGTTTAGTGTGATGTCCATTTTCGATGAACTAGTATACATCATTTTTTTAGGGTCCAGCTGAAGCCCGCCTCCGGGTGCAGGATTTTCTCGCTGTACTTAAGACCCATTGGTGGCCTTCGGCTGTTTTCTGCCCTTTGGTCGGGTTGTTGTCTCTTTGACGATTCCCCGTTTTCATTCTCAATTTTATTCTATTGCAACCAAAAATACTTTTACAGGGTTAAAGATACAACATACAGTTAAAATACCTTTAAAATCTTGTTCAATCAGCACATCACAAACAAGAAATGTATCTAAAAATATAAAAATTCTTGTAGAATAAATATTACACTAATGCTTACATGTTAAAACTCATAACAGATACCAGGCTTATATCATAGTACACCAGACGGGCATTTCGCCCACATGAGACTCATGAGTTGCGCTCGAAAAAAAACAACTGGAAGGCTAAATCAAACAAGAAGTTGAAGAGTATTTGAATCATAAATTCCGAAAAATTGCCACACACGGTAAATGCAGTAAATGTCTTAGGGTTTAAAACCATAATTAATGTATCAAATATTTCAATATTTTCTGAATAGATAATTTGCAGAAAATGAACAAATCAAAGATATTCAATGTCAACTCAAAAGTATTGACTATTGTGCTGATTATGTCCTCTATCACTGCCATCGACCCAGTAGTTGTAAAACCTCATCAAAGTAAAACTGGTATAACCGCACATGATTTTTGCATGTGCAAAGTAAGGCTTTCTTGACCGTGTTCGTTTAAGTTTTCCTTTGTTTGTCTGTCTATTATTTGTTCGGGGAGTCCAGTGTCTGTGGTTGGCGTGGTTTGTTTTATTGTCTGTTTTTTGTGCTTCTTTTGATTCTTTTGATGTTCAACTATTCCTTTTTATGACAAACGTGATAAATTTAATCAGTGTTTAAAGGTAATTCACTCCAACCAGTGAAGTCAACTACGGTACTTCTTATTTGACTTGGACTTCCAGCAGTTTGATATGAGCGCTACTCTGGAGTCTTTTGTAGACAAAATTCCCATCTGGTGTACCAAAATGTAAGCCTCGTATCATTGATAACTTTTTTTTTATATAATCATCATACTTTGTATATGCTTTTATGCAATTAAGTAATTATTTCTATAGAATACATGTTTTAATGTTTTCCGAGGGTGGTATTCTTGCTCAATTGACTATATTTATCGCGTTAAAAAGGGTGATTATATCTTTAAAATATCTTGCTGAGTATTAACCCTGCGTTACTAAGACGCCATATTGAAAAAAGACGTATTCTGGATCGAACTGGGATCAAATTTGAAATGTAACATATACATGTAAACGTTTAATGCAATTTTTTTTTTTTATCTTAATGTTTTTTTTAAATTTTATATAAACGTTTTGTTTAACTCCTGATCGATATTTTAAAAGGGCAGGGTTGGGATCTTCAAAAACCTAGTTTAATCAGAACACATTTGCGTATGCCTGTCCAAAGTCAAGTACCTCATCAGTTGCTGTCGTATGTCATGGCGTAATTATTTTCCTTTCATATACATAAATCAATTGATGAAATTTCAATATCGATAAACTATTGTTGTCTTATTGTCGAAAATTACCATTCTCTAATGATATTTAAATACAAAATATACAATCTCTCCAACTTCAAAAGCAATCAACCAGCCTTATACGGTTTTTTTTTCCGAAATTTGTAATTGCATTTTGAAATAGGCCGAAATTTAGATTTTCTGTTTACCCCGTATCCAACTGACTGGAATTAAATGAAGAACATAGATGCGTTATGTAAAAGTCTGGTAGCATAATATTTCTTATTGAATTATTTAATTGCATTCTTTAATTTTCTGTTTTAAGTAACAATGGCAGCAAAAACGTGATTCTGGAAAAAATTAAATCGGGCAAGTTCGTGACCGAAAATTTGGAAGGCCAAATAAAAATCTAATTGTTCTTAATGGAGCAGGAACAACTGTATACGGTCAAATTGGCAACATCATATTGCAATTTTAGCTTTTGTTATATTCTGATTGGGTACATATTGTTTAACCTAAACTGCTCTGTGGATTGATTTTTATAAACTTTATAAGAGACGAAGAAAAAATTTGAAAAAATTAAAATCGCCCTTTTGCATACGATTTTCGTGTAATCATACTACTTTATACAAATGTTTTACATCGACCTAAATTAATCTATTTACAATTTACATAAGTTTCAAGACTATCAAATTCTTGCTAACCACAAAATTCGTACCTAACCACGTCAATTCACAAATGTCAAGCAATAACAAGCATAAATAGGTTATTTTGCAATGAACTTTTTAAGCCTTGGAAAACCCCATTTACAAAAAATAAATGTTTTTGATAATTTTAGGATAATCGTGACAAAACAAATTAACATACTAGTATAACAAATGCCTTGTAATTAGTATACTAAAGCAAGATAAAATTTATTAAAATACTTTGACATTTAATTCAATGTGACAAAATAGATAAAAAAAACGTGCTAGCAATGATAATCACAGCGTGTTTTTTATAAATTTGGCAATTTCCTTCATAGATATTGTACTTGATAATAATATTAAATAATTAACACATCAAAATTTGTCAATTATCTCCATAAATATTGCACTCCTGCTTATATAAATGAATGGCATTTTCATCTTCAGCATAAAACATTTAGATCAAACTCGTTTCAACAAGTAAAACTATGTTGGTTTTGGTAATTCTTCAATTCGGCTTTGCCTTGGGTAAGTCAAATCTTTTTTTTTAAATACTGATATTTTATCACAAACAATATTATATTGTCAGCATATGTTTACCGAATAGTCTCATTGACGACAATGAACATCTAGTCATATCACTACACATTGTTTTTATCTTTCCTAAATATGTGATAAAGACAATACTGAATTCAAGTAATGTACCTTTAAATACTCAAGGCTGGCTTGTATTATAATTAATTAAATAAATAACTCGTTGTCTTTCCATGAACAATAGTTGCGTAGAACACAAGCATAAACGGAATGCTTGGCAAACATGTAGACCTGAATTTCGTGTAAAATAACGGTGGTACAAAGCTTAATTGCAGCTGCTTTCAAATATGCCTTTTTATTTCAAAAAGGCATGACAAACCAATTGCGTAAATATTCTTAAATATGATGATTGAAGACGAGGTTCCCACTTGAGCAGAAAGTAATGCTCTTTTTTCCTAATGAAGCAGCACGAATACCGCTAGAATGATAATGTCTAATAACAGAGTATATAAATGTCCAAATTACTGATTATTTGCCTGTTGATAATTTTATACTGGGTCAATGACAAGGCTGGTGAACGTTTCATCCCCGAGTGTTTCAACAGCCCAGAAGTCCGCACTTTTATTTTGACATATAATATCACTGATATGCTCTTTTTCTGTTTTACTGTTTATAAAATGTTAAATTTTTGGTACTGCAAAGGTTTTTATTGACAGATCTTTTTGTAATTAACAGTTTGATTTACAACTTGGTTTTTTGATAAGGCGTTCCAACTATTGTTATTCGAATGTCACTGATGAGTCTTATGTTAACGATACCCAAGTATAAAAAATTATAAGCCTGGTATGCTTGATCAGGTTTTACATTGTAACTCAAAGCATTAAACAAAACAAATTAAGGCAAATTAAGGCAACACGAGTTTACCAATGTTCCAATATCGTAATTTGATTATTAAGAGAAAAATCAAGATAACTGGTTATAAAATTTCCTTTTCATAGTTTTAATTGATTTTTAAAATCATCTCAATAAAAGTTCTACGTTGGTTACTGTTCTTTTTCAACACGAGTAGCAGATAAACATCATCATTACAATCCTACATAAACAAGTTACAGAATTTTCTAACATGGCTGATTGATTGGTTAGTGTTTAAAGCCACTTTCATCACTATTGTGGTATTTCGTGGCGGTCAGTTGTTATTGGTTGAGAAAGCCGGATGGACCGGAGAGAACCACCAATCTTCAATAGGAAAACTCACAATCCTAGTCAATTAAGATTGGAGTCGAGCGCACCTGCCACGAGCGGGATTCGAACTCCCAACCTGAGTGTTGACAGGCTAGTGAATTTTCTTACAAAACGTTATCATATATTTGCAGGTACATCCTGGAGTGTTCCGAAAGAATGCTATCCAGTGTTCAGTTGTTCGTACAGGTTTCTAGACGTTGAAAAATTCTTTTATGATGGCGATGCTTTAAAGGATGTCAGTGCAGAAACAGTTGACGAGCTATGCCAGTATGTGTACTAGTATATTTCTGTCTATATATATATATATACCTTCACTTGTCACAAAATAAAAATCATCGGTATTTAAATTATGTTGAGCCGTAAAAATTAATAAAGGTACCAGCATTTTCCAATGCAGAATATTATGAACTTTAATCTGATTGGTTTCAATATAAAATACCAATCACTATTTCATGTTTACACATTATTTTTTTTTCGTTTTTAAGATTTGACTATTTTTGAGTATATGTAACTTACCAGACGAAAATAGTTACACTTTATTGTCAATCAAAATGACTATTTAATATATGATTTATTTTCATTCCTTGCATAATGTAACTTTAGTTTAATTGACAAAAGAGCTAACCTGCATTTTTATACTTTAAATAATGTTTTATAAGCATTCCATTTAAAGTTAAAAAGAACAATTAAAACATGTTTTTCGTTAATTGGTTTGTTGTAAATTAGGCCGTTAGTTTTCTCAATTGAATTGTTTCATATTTTTCATGTCAGGGCCTTTTATAGCCGACTATACGGTATGAGTTTTTCTCGTTGTTGAAGACCGTACGTTTGCCTATAATTGCTTATATCCACTTTATTTGAATTTTGGTGGATAGTTGTCTCATTGGCAATCATATCTCATCTTTTCATTTTTATATTTTGTGTCAATACTTAATTTTCTATTCTGACAGTGAATTGGATTAAAGTTTAACTTGTCAGTGCCAATATCATAACAAAATCTCACCATTAACTGTGGAAAAAAAGTATTGGGTTTGAAGCAACACATTAAAGGAAATGTGCGGTATCCGTAAATGAGCAAACGCCCAAACAACACAAAACATTAACCTCTAGAGGTCAACATTACAGTATTACAGTTTTCAACAAAACAAGTATTGTAGTAGAAAATTATTCTTACTGTAAACCAACTAATTTTCGAGACTTTCCCCGAGTAGAAAAATAAAGCGAATATAAATCGTTGCGATTGTGTAAAACATCCCTATAAGTTCATCAAGGAAAAAGAAAATCGCGACAAATAAATCGCAGCGAAGTCGGCTTAAAAGGGTTTAACGCGAAATGAAGTATCTGCGAAAAAAAGTTGGTTTTCAGAATTATTCCACTTCTCATATTCTTTAGATTTTTACGTTGATATTTCATATTGTATTGCAGACATTTGAAGAAAAAATCCGTTTGTAAGGAGGCAGAAAAGTGTAAAGAGATGGATTTTGTAACTGAAATGATGGCTGAAATAGAAAGAGCTGTTTGTGTTGAGTATAAGAAAGGTTTGGATATCATTTGCATTAGATAGTAGACTAAAATTGTAGTAGCCAATGTAACATTTATTCATAACGTCTCAATTAGAGCTTGACATATATGTATACCCTTGTCTATATTTGTTCAATATTTTATGTGCATGGGTATATCTGTGTGTGTAATTTTAGTATTGTTGTAGGGCATCGAAGAATCTTTGTATACAATCTATTTTATATTTTCATGTTACGGTCAATATGGTCAAGATACTGTAAAAAGTAAAATATCAAAACAACCGAACTCCAAGCAAAATTCAAAACGGAAAGTCCCTTATCAAATGGCAAAATCAAAAGCTCCAACACATCAAACGAATGGAAAACAAATAAATGAGCAATACCACTGACAGAATTTGGTAAAATTTTACATACAACTTTGTCTTGTTGAATTTCAACAGGTATCGAAAAAATGATGAATAAATAAATTTATCTCTTTATTTTCTAAAATATTACTGATTGAATTCTGAATATTGATATTTAGTGTTTTATATGTATTGATTTTATGTTTGTCTACTATTTTGTATTGATATCTATGTTTTACTGTCTGTTGATACGGTTCCATTGAACAAAAAGGAACCTTATATCAGAATTAAATTTCGATCCTTTAAGCTGAAAATGTGAGAACAAGTCGTTGTTTAAATATATAAATAAAATAAACATCTGATTGGAAAAGTTTAAATCAGCTAAGAATTATAGAATACCGAGTACATGGCGTTCTGATTAAAGACCGTGGCAGTCAGAGAGAAATCCTTTAGGGAGCTACCATTAGATTTTTAGGGGGGGGGGGGGGGGGGCAAGGATGAAAAATTGTGTCCTGCCTTTTTTTTTTATTAGTTTATTCTGACATTTTTAACATAAATTGTCATCCTGCCTTTTTTTTTTTTTTTTTTTTGGCAAGTTGCTCATCCTGCCTTTTTTTTTAATCAAAACCCCTCTCCTGCTTTTTTTCCAAATTTCATCCTAGCCCCAATACTGCATCAAGTGTGTTACGATATTTCTCCACTCCAGACGGTTAAAAAATGTGAACGTCATGAATATATAGATTCCACCACTGCATCAAGTGTATATTTCTCAAATCGAGACGGTTAAATTTTATTATTACATTGGTAGCATTGAATTACATTGATTTCCCAGTCAAATAAAGACCGATAATTTCACATGTGAAATAGACTTGGTTATTTCACTTTCTGGCGTCATACAACAATAGGCGTGGTCATGACGTCGATAACGTCGGATCAAAACAAATTGTGAATGCGTAGAAAAAAGATATAGTTCCTTACATTTTCTACATTAATTTCAATAAAAAAAGCCATTTGCCAATGTAATAAAAAGAATAACTAATCAAAGAATTCAAATATCGAAAAATATTCTACTCGTGACCGAACAACACTGATAATTAACTCATGCGCTACGCGCATTCGTGAATTAATGTGTTGTTCGGTCACTCGTTGAATATTTTTCTCTATTTGAATTCTTCGATTAGTTATTTTATAAATATTTAAAGCGTGAGGCCGAGTTGCCGAGCTTTTTAAAAATTTTAAATTTAACTGTTGAGAGAGGAGAAATATCGTAATACACGAGTTATAGTGGTGGAATCTGTTTCTCTACTGATTTTTAGACAAAGTTTATCCATCCTTTTCAAAGATTTGCAGAAAGTTGTGTTCTTGATATGTGACGTCATCAGACATGGTCGCCTTTATTCTTGACGTCACAATAGGAAATTCAGAAGAAACCAAGAAAATTTGACGTCATAATTAAATTTCGACCAATTATATGCCGAGAACAAAGTTTTCTTTAGAGATGAGAAATATTTTTCTCACACCGATCGAGAAATGTGAAACAACCCTGAAATTAGAGAAATTAGTATTCACTGAATATATTTCACTTGATATTAAGCATCCATTAATCAATTTATTCTATACAAATACTTATATTATTTCAGATATTCAAGGTTTAGCACAATGCTACAATGAACCACAGTTCAGATCAAAATTCATGAAATGTGTCCAAGATTCTTTTATTGGCTATAATCAAAATACGTGTGGGTAAGTTTTACTTCAGGTAATTAGTGTATTAAATCAACATGCGATCACAATAATTTTGTATTTTAACACTTCTTTTTTATACATTTTTGCCATTGTTTGTCAAATTTTTAAAGATTTGTAAATTGAAAACGAGGTTTTTGGCAGATGATTTTTCTTCAGTCTTTAATGAGCCGTAATTACATTTACACATTTTCATAATTGCACTATTGTATATTTGTTACTATGTTGATTTGCTTAAAATAAACTGCCGCTTCCGTTAAAGTACTGTGGAGTTTAAAAATGTTTAGTTTTGTTATATATGTCTAAAACAAAAAGAAATTCTTAATAATCTGTAACAGTACCATATTCCTTTGGGAACATGCGTCTTTTCTACCGAGATTTGATTTTATTTCAACACATTAAAAATGAAATGAAACAATAATTAAAAGTGGTGTCTACCAATGTGATATTATTATTTTTTTCTTTCATCAAAGATGGCTGCATGACAAACCAATAAAATCAAATCAGAGAATTATCTTATTAAATGCAAATGTACCGGTAGAAGCCCTTGGAAATTTTGATTTTCAATTACAGGTTTGTGGACAGCCTGAAAGGCTGTGCTTCAATTTTCCAGCAGTGTGAAGACCAACAACATGCATCTGCCGTTCAAACTATGCTCGGCAAATATGGTACAACAATATGCAATCATCACAAATTCAATATTGGAGCTCCTTAATTTCAGCTCCATCTTAAACCTTGGATGCATTTTGATCTACCAAGGAATATATATATTGATCTACCATGAATAAAAATATTTTGTAACACCAAGAATCTTTGTGTTCAACGAGTAGTAAACTGTTTTAGAAGATTTATCTTGGTTGGTTATATGTTGACTCCTTTCTCATTATCAAGTCTTAACACATTTCACCTGCTTGTGCTACCGTTAGACACTTTGAAATACAAATTTCATTTATTTTTTTGGGGGTGATGTCACTCATCACAAGAGTGCAACACGCTGAATTGTCTCGGCTGGATTCTTATGATTGAATTTATGTTGAAAGTTTGTAATATAAAGGTTTAACTACAAGTATCACATATACTGAACAAGATCAAGGTTGTATGAAAATGATGTAACGGTCAGATGAACCATGCCAGACAGACATGTACACCTTACAATCATTCAATACACCAAATACAGTGGTCCTAATGTAAAACAAAATTCTATCCGGATGAAATATCATCCGTCGGAAAAAATGTTACAGATGATGTTGTGAGATTTCCGAAGGAGAATATTTCACTGTGAGATATTTTCCATTGCCATAAAATTTTTTCCAGGGAAGTTAAAATATTGAATAGTTAATAAAAATAACTAAATCTTAGCAAATGCTATGGACTAATAAAAGAGTATTTAAAAGCTAAATAAGTGAATAAAAAAAAAATAATTATTTTATAATGGGAAATAATTTCACAGATTATAATTAAAAAATGATTTCCTGAAATAATTTTTAAGTAAATTTCATTCATTTAAAATACAATTATCATGAAACATATGTAACAAAACCAGAAATAATTTCAAGATCTTAATTGTGAAAAAGTATCATGATCAATAAATATAGTGTAAGTGAAATACAGGTAAAAGTGAGTTGTTTTCAGATGTCATTACAATTAAACTGTTAAAAAATTAAATTTAAGGTAGAAATATATTATTACAGTAAACAGTAATGGAGGAATTTGAGTACGATGATATTTTTAACTATTTAGATACAAAAGTATATGGCATTGGAGCAAGTGACAATTTATGTTTGATTTTACATACATTTCATAATATGTGTTGATTTCATTTGATGAAAAATGGTTCATTTTGGTGTCTGTGTTTATTTCATTTACTAGATATTGAATTTGATTAATATATGTACATTTATTAAAAGTGTAGTTTAATTTGTAATGTAGTTGTTGATAATGTGACAAAATCAGATGAATCATAACACAACAATATATAGGAACAGAAACAATTTCAACAGGTGGATAGTATTTACCTGTGAAATATTTTCTGTCTTCTTAATTTTTATTTAAATTCATCCTTTTATATTGTAAAAAAAATGAGGAGTAAAGGAAAAATATTCACTTTGAAATCGATTCCAGAATGTAATATCTTTAAAAGAAAATTGATTATAATTACTTCCCTTTGATTGATACGTTATGCAAATATGTTCTACCTTGGTGACACATTAATTATTGTGGTCAGGTATATATAGATTGGAAGTAGCTTACATAGTAGACAATGGGACTGTATTTTACAAGCTTCTGTGAAATTCAGAACGGAAAAAAATATACTGTTAAATACTTTCCGTATAAGAGAGATAGAATTTCACTCCTCTGGAAAAAAATCTTCCCATGAAATACCATGTCTGGAAAATATTTACTGTAACAAATTTTCCGCCGGAAAAAATATCACAGAGGAAGAAATAAACCGTTACACTATCACTTATAGTACCTGAGAAACAGATCAAACCATAAAATCTTAACATTGACCAATGAACCATGAAAATTAGGTCAAGGTCATATGAAACCTGTAAGACAGACATGTTCACCTTACAATCTTACATATACCAAATATAGTTGACCTATTGCTTATAATATCTGATAAACTGCTAAAACTGCGAAAACTTATCATTGACCAATGGTCCATGAAAATAAGGTCAAAGTAATATGAAACCTGCCAGACAGACATGTACACCTTACAATCACTCCATACATCAAGATAATTGACCTATTGCTTATAGTATCCGAGAAATAGTCGAAACCACAAAACCTAAACATTTGTCCAATGAACCATGAAAATTAGGGCATAGTAAGATGAAACCTGCCAGTTAGACATATACACCTTACAATCATTCCATACACCAAATATAGTTGACCTAATATTTATAGTATCTCAGATACGGACTTGACCACGCAACTTTAACCTTGATCACTGATTCATAAAATAAGGGCGGGGGAAGTGAACCCTCTCTGACGGACAAGCGGACGTTCCAATATTAAAGTGAGTATTTCAATAGAATTTTTTTGTTTATTTCAAGCAGTCGCTTAACCATGTAACTTCATATTTGTTTTGGCCTTCCAATTGATTTGATTGAGAGCCACTGATGGGTCTGATGTAGATGAAACGTGCGTCTGGCAACTACAACTGTGGCTCTGGTGTTACAAATTTTAAGCCTGGTATTTTTTTGTAAATATAGCAAAATTCATGTATTGCTAAAGGGAATGCATAAAATTATTTGAAAACAAAAATTCCAGGACCATCATTAATTTATATCCCTAGTTCCAATGTCTAGGAATTTGAAGTAGAAAAAAACAGTATTTTGTGATGTGCAATGCTTTTTGTTTTCAGGGGTTTTTTTGTGTTGTTTTGTTTCGGTGGTTTAAAGTCTGATGTCAATTTATGTCAAATGGAGCTAACACATTCAGTCTATCAATTGCTGCTGCCCCCTTGATCTTTGACCAAGTGACCGAAAGAAGTGTTCTGTTTGAACCATAAGCACATGAGTTTTTGTTTTTACCAAGACTTGGTGAAGTTTGATATCTAAAAAACAAACATTTGACTAAATTTCAGTATTTTTTTTTAATCAATGGCTATTGTGACCCTGACCTTTGATCTCAAAATCATTACTGTCTTTTTCAACCATGGGCATATTAACTACTAAAGATTTGTAAAAGTCTGATTGACGGCTCATAAAATATATTCTGGCAACAAAACCTTTCCCAAAATGTAAGTCTTTTCATAGATACTGTGACTTTAAACCTAGTTACCAAAAAATCAACAGCATTTTTTTCCATGCTTTACTTCCAAGCTATGTTTTGTGGAGATTGGACATATTGTTCGAAGATATCTTCTTGAAACCTTTACATGGGACATAATCAAACCTAGTTTGGTATAGGTGGAACATACGGTTCAAAATATTACACTTGGAAAATATTTTGCACAAATATCAATCTGTTAACTGATACAGACTGATTATATGAACTTGATCTTTCGCCTAGTGTCCTAACAATCAAATACAGGTCTGCCACACCCCATGTGGCATTACAAAAACCAAGTTTGTTAAATATATTGTTTTGGCTCAAAAGATTTTGTGCACAAACTGAAATGTTTATGACTGGAGACCAAAATGTATCATGCTATAAGCTGAGCTGTGACAAAGTGAATTGGAGGTGCACAATTTAATGTTTGTTGAGATTCTGTAAAAGTTGAAACTCAGCTCCTGACTTTGGAGGTGTTGCAGATTACAAAATGCAAACAAAGAAAATTCACAATGATCACTATATATATTGTTACTTCTGTATAAATATCTCAAATTGTAAAAAAGATGCCATTTTTGCTTATTTGAGATGTTAGTTACATTGTAGTGGTTGTAAGTCTTGTATTGGTTATCTTTTTTTACAGTTTATAGTTTATACCCATAAATTAAACTGTATGATGTTAAAAAAAACCCAAAAAAAACGTCATTTAATGGCAGTATATCCTATAACTAGTGTGACAATTGAGACACTGAAGTGAAATTTTTTAGAATCATCATTCTGGGGAAATAATTTCCACAAGGAGTTGGTCGACAATTTAGGCCATAATGGCGGATTGTTTTAGGATGATCATATTTTCCTGAACACTCTTTAAGTTTTAAAATTTCTCTTTGTTATAATATGGGTCAATATCCCTAATGCGCCTCAAAAGTTGTGGGTAAACAAAAAATCTCTGTGTAGTGATATTTGACACGTTTCTATGATAAACAAGTGACTGAGCTTAACCATTTGTATTGATTTAGAAAGTAGGGGAACATAGAATAAATGTGTAAAAACTATGGAGCTATTAAATGTGTTCAAAGTATTAAATTTTCAAAGAACTTATTGTGTAAAAAAAGGGATTTTTTTACCACGAGGAGCCGTATCACGAACGGATTTTTCGGGGTTTGCTAATTTACGGAAAAAGTAATCTCACTTCGTACTCCGAAAATTTAACCACATATGTGAAAATGTCTCAGCTTCGAAACGAGCCATCATACATATCCAAGTTAACGATATGGACTGATCAACAGAAGAAAACGTTACCATTACCGCCTATAGAGAAATAATTGCGAACATTGACCCATCTTACAACAAGATATCAGCAGCTCTCAGACTGATTTATGAATGATTGCACCTTGTACACCAGAGGAAATTGTGAAAATGAAGGTTAGTTGTCTTTAATATATACCTAGTTAGCACAGCTGGTTCTAGATAAACATTATCACTATTTTCGCTTTTGAAATGCATTACTGGCACGGGGCTGAACACTTCTTTTAGGCACAATCATATATCTGTTTCCCAAGAGATCCGAAAGGCACTTGTTATGACTGGAAACAGGCATGAACATTTAATAATATTATTAAATTGTAAGTAAACATGACACAATGAAGTCTTTGTTTTGTAATTATCATTCTAGTCTACAGGAATTACTGATAATATAGAAAAATAACACACTTCATACAAGTAAAATTAGATACATAAGTCTTCATTACATTTTTTACTTGTGCATTTACCCAATAATTTGACCCATGGTCATTGTAAATTATATGCGAATAAACAGACAAATATGTCATAAGAAAATCATGAACTATTCTATTTTAATGCACACAAGCAAATCACAAGATATTGTCTTTTTCTCAGTGAAAAAGGGCGAGCGTCAAACCTTTTGAAAACATAGTGCTGCACCTATTCAACTACAATAATTAAGATACTACTCATTGCTCCTCATATAAAAGGTTTAAATGAAGGTTAATAAGCCACAAGGGAGAAGC